CACTAGTCAAAATATTATTTCAGTGAAACCTGGCATGTAGAAGCTATATAGTTAATTTAAAAATTCTTATTAAAACTATGTAAAATAGTTTCATCATTAAATTTTATAGTTAATCTATCGTATGAATGTTCTAACTTAATATCTATTGAATTTAGATTTTGTAAACCATTACATATGTCTGAATTGAATACAGCACGTGATATAATTGAAATTCAATATAATGGTCATATGGGCTTTGCACGACTTTCACCAGCATTTCGAGCAACAATTGGATGTGATATACTTCCTGTAAGTTTTCTATCTTGTATTTTATAATATGTGTTGTTAATTTGTATTGCTTAATAGGTTCAACTTGAACGTCCTTATTGTATAATACATTGTCCAGTAAATTTTGTTGTTAGTTCAACATTTGATTTACCATTTGTTCGTTTACCATTACAAATATTTTCTGAACATGTTCATTTTTTACTTTCTCAACATGCTGGTTCTATGCCATTGGGCAGGTTAATAATCTTTTTGTGTTTTTTTAACTTTTCTAAAACATTTAAATATCTTTCTGAAATTTTCAGTTTTGTTCAATGTTATTCACATTATTTTTCACGTTTAATTGATGATGAATATGGTATACCACTTGAACACTATATAACATGTGTTAAAAATGTTGAAATTGTTACTGATCAAGGTGTTATTAAACGTATAAAAACAACAATTACACCTTCATTTTCTGTTCCACTTAATCATAGTAAAATAGACAAGGAAATACAATTTTCTAAAAAAAGAAAGACATTTCTTTTTCAGTGGTATCAGATAAACGTTCAACATCATCATCATCATCATCATCATCATCAACAACAACAACATCAGCAGCAACTTATTCATTACAAACATTTGCTCGTGAAGTAATTGATTTACTTAAACAACAAACAAAACATTGTCGATTACCATTATCAAAATTTGTAACAACTTATCATATGAAATATAGTCGACATTGCCGAGCAGCTGACTATGGTTTTGATAAAATTCTTGATTTATTACTTGCTATTCCAAATGCTGTTCAAGTAAAAGATTTACAAAATACAAAAAAAAGTAATGGAAGATTATATTTATTTCTAGGTACTCGGTGATGGTAATAAACGTATATTAACGCTTACTCATCGATGTCAAGTTAAACGATTTTTTAATGATCTTGTAAGAATTTTAAAAAATAAACCACAAAGATCAATGGCTATTAGTGAAATTCCAAATGAGTTTAGTAAGTAAAAATTAAAATTATGAAAAATATTCCTTAAGAATTCAAATTAATCAAAATATCTTATTAATTTCGATCTGTAAATTGTTAAGTCAATAAATTTAAGTTCACTTTTATAGACAAATTTCGAAGAATTCTAATAAACTAAATACCATAATGAAGTAATTTTGTAAAATAATAAATCATGTTTGAGATGAGTTTTACCTCATTGGATAGGCCTTATTTGAATTAGAGTAAAGCCTAAATAGATTTATATCCTTAGTTGTTTCTTCTTGAGTTATGGCCATTTTAGTAAGTTTTGCAAAACAATCCCGGTCTCCCGACGATCATATTCTAAATAGACTTCAGAGTTTTTAGCTCAAGCTTTGCATGAATTAAATGGCAATGCCCCATCATATTGAGGAAAATCCATGTGGTAGATTGTCATTCAGAGGATGATTTGAGCGGGAACGACCACGGCATTGTTTTGAAAAATGTATACATCAGTCATGTTCCATTTAGTGAGGTTCCCTGGGAAGAAAGAACAAAATTAATTTTTGATTTTCAGAGAGAAGTTTAGTCAATAAAAATTGACTTATTTTTTCATTTTTCTACAAAGAATTCCGAAATTTTTCTACAAATTATTCCTATCAACATAGAATGAAAAGCTCAAAATTTCTTCAATTAAACACAATGCTATGAATACAAATAGTGGGTGTAATACATATAGATAATGTGTTCGTTTTCAACGTTCAGTTGAAAGTAGTAATGATATAAATTTATTCAAAGAAAAAAGTGAATTTCGTAGAATCTATTTGTTTATTGTTTTTAGGCAATTTTAGTAAAAAACCGTTCGATATTATCGACTTCGGTGTTTGTTTTCTTGATGATCTCATTGGTGAACTTAAAGATAACAAAGAAGTTGTTATCAATCAAGAACTTGGAATAATAAAACTCTATCGAAAAGGCATATTAATTCTCTTTTATTTTTAAATTTAACTCTAATTGTTTGAATTTCATAGAACAAACAAATGTTGAAAAATTTGCTACACAAATATTTGCTGATGATATTATAAATATGTTTCGTCATCAACAAGATTTTAATATACCATTTCAACGTTTTATTCCAATGTATCATCATCATTTTGGTTATCAATGTCGTGTACAATTATATGGATGTTTACGTTTAATTGATTTATTTGAAGAAATTCCACATATTGTTCAAATAATTGAAGATAAAAATGGTGAACGTATTATACAATTAACTGATAATGCTATTCATCAAGCTGTTTCATTAAATATAATTCAACTTATACGACAACATGATGGTTCAATAATATTTAATCAATTAATGAAACTTTATTCGGAAATGTTTCGTTTTGAACTTAATTATGAAGAAATGGGTTTTGATTCTATTGAATCAATGCTTAAATCAATGCAAGATAAATTAACCGTTAGTTAATTATTTTCAAATAATTTCTTTTTATTTTTAAGGAAATTTTTTTCTTTTTGTATAGGGTGTACAAACAAATAAGAGTACAGTAGTTATCCGTATTATTGAAGAACATCATTCTGAAATTGTATTTGCTCGAAATGTTGTACATATTCTTATGGAAGCACAAGGTGAAACAACAATTTGGTTGCTTAAACAAGAAATGGCTAATCGATATAGACGTGAATTAAAACTTGAAGATTGCCAAAATCGACTTAAACAATATATTGAAGTATGAGAAATAAATTTGTTAGAAGAATCTCTTGAGAAGAAATACTTTCTTAGACAAACAGAAATTGATAAAATGTTTAAACAAAAATCACTTACTCAGAGCGATGATTGATCCAGTGAAGATCTATAAATATTCAGGGACAATTGTTGAAATAAGAAAATCTAAGTGGCCTTTGGCAATAATACAGAAAGAGAGAACGAGAGAAGAAACTATTCCTAAACGAGTAAGTGATGAGGGACATTTATTTGGCTAAAATTGAATTCTATAAACAAAACGATAGTAATTTATTTTTTTCGAGAGATTTTTATTAGATTGTGAAAAGACCTTGAACAACTCGAAAATGATAAACAAACTTAAATTTCCTGACTGAAGTTATTCAAACATTTAGACTTATTTATCTCTGATCGGAATATCATTATATTTTTGTGAAACTCATATTATGTTTTTCGAAATACAGTGAATATAAGTTTTAAATTTATATTTTACGGCTCCTCCGTCATAGCAGTCAAAGTGAAAAGTCATTATGCCATATAATTAACATTAAAAAAAAAAGAACTCATCAAATTATAACTTTGAGAAAACAATCAATGTCAGTGTTCCTGAGCTTATTGCGATATAGAATAATGTATTGAAATCTTTTATAGATGTGCAATAGATATGTATAATAGGCTTATGTGCTTGCGATTAGAATAATGATAGTACTAATTATAAAATGTCATTTAATATTCTTCATAATTTGATACATTCTTTTCTTTATCTTATAATATTTTCATAATTATTTTAGTTAATTGGTCAAAATGTTCATCTTACACCACCAATGCGATTTGCATATGAAGTAGTTAAAGGAATGCGTGCATGTGGTTTAGATAAAATGAATTATGAAGATTTTCTTATTGATTATCAATTACGTCATAGTAATGCTAATTGTCCTAATCCAGCTGAATATGGTTATCCAACGATCGATCGTTTATTTAATGCAATACGTATTGTTGTTTTAACACGTGGTCATCGACAAACAAAAACAATATCATTAACAGATGAATTTCGAAGTAAATAAAGTTATTCTCTATATGAAAATCTTTTTTGTTTTATGTTCTAAACTAAACTTTCTTTTTTCTGTCTAGTGCATATTCGACCAAGTTATTCTCTTCATTTAAACAACAATAATTCGTAAGAAGATATTCACTCATTAAGACAACGAATTACAGTCAGAAGTAGTTAACGCATAGATGAAATTTTCCTTATTCTAATATATTATCTAGTGCTTTACAATAATATGGAATTGACGTTGTTCAAAGGTACAAATTAAGGACTGTAACAAAACCTCTATTTTGCTTTGTACTGATATAGCTTTGGTCTTTTTCACAAAATTTAATAATAGTTGTTCAATCTTACGCTCCGAAAGAAAATTTTGAACACATTTTCGGAAAAATTCTAATGCTAATTAACTACTTCTGACTCTAACCAGTTGTCTTAATGAGAGAATATGTTGTGATACAACTTTTTCGCTATAAGTAATTGGTTTTAATTTTTTTTTGTATTTTAGTTTTACTAAATGAGAAACGTGTGCATATATTCTATATTTTATTCAAGAGGATCAAAGATATATATATATCTACTTATTATTATTATTATTATTATTATTATTGGTTTTTGAAGAATCTCTTTTGTTTTGTATTTATTTATTTTTGTTCTTGTACTTGTTTTCTGAGAGAACATTTCTATGTTCTCTCCTTCTCGATTTTTTCTTGTTTTCGTATGATTCTTCCTCGACTTTATTGAGTACGAGTCCTAACATGTAGAAAAAATCTCGTTTTTTTTTTAATTTTTTTTTCAGGGCATTCCACCCTCCTTTTTGTTTTTCCCTATAGTTTTTATTATAGCATTTTTATCATGATTATATTATATTGTCGGTGTGTGTGTTTTGATGAAAGTATTTTTTTGTAAGAGGAGGAAAAAAGAGAAAAACAATGAATTTAAACGATATATATATATATTTATTTAATAAACATGGATTGAAGAATGGATTTGATTTTTTATTTTTATTTTTAGTGATACGAATTGTTTTGATGAAGATGACAAGGAAGTTTTCGAATCGAATTTGAAGAAAGCAGATTTGAAATAAGTTTTGCTTTATGTTGTTGAGATTGTTGATAAGTATAACGTGATGAACATCGTTGTAGTTTATGTTCAATAAACTAAATAAAAGAAAAATAAATAAATAAAATGAAATAATCAATTCTATAGTTACTTTTTGATTATTTTGATTATAATTTTGAAGATTGAAAGATTGAAGAAGTTTATCAACAACATCATTGGGTGAATGAATATGTTTTGTATTATGAGCATGAAATGATGATATTGGTTTAGCTAATGTTGTAGTCAATTGTTTAGGTACATCTGCCATATTTGATAAAGAAAAAGAAGTTTGTTGACGATTGTTTGTATGTGAATAAGATGGTATTTCATTGAGCATTGAAAGAGATGAATGGACAGTATGAGAATGTCTTGAATTTAATGGATGACGTATTGACATTTGTGATGATATTTTACATGATGGTTGACGTTCTTAAATATTGGGATGACCTGTCATAAATGGCTGGCTTTTGTTTCTTGGTTTGGGATTGTTTCAAAACCTGTTTCCTAGCTCATTCGACAGAGAATTTATTTTTCTACAAAACAGTTTATTTTGTTTCTCAAAAATACTTGCCTTATCAAAAAGCCAGCCCGAATCATTCAGACCTCTGACACCTACTCAATAATATGCTTCTAACTTTCTACTTTTAAACATTTTCACACAAAATATTTATTTTTAAATTATGAAAAAGGTGTAGAATTTATCGTGGAGTATAGTGACATATTTTTAGCTCCCAGCCAAATATTTGTTAATAATTTCCATCAGTCTTTTTTTTTTGACTATCGTAGATGTCCGATGGAGTAGTTGTTAGCCTCTTGAATTTTTACTAACAAGAGAAATACTTTTGAAAAACAAAATAGACTGTTTTATGGAGCAAAAAATTCTCTTTCGAATAAGATTAACACCAGATTTTAAACAGCCCAAAGAAGGAAACAAAAGCCAGCCATTTGCTATGAGTTACTCGATATATAAATAAAAATTAGAAGAAAATATATTAGATTCACTGAGGTGTTAATGATCCTGGCGGAAACCTGACGGAAAGATACTATTTCCCGCCAGAAAATAATAAGAACTTTGAAGAAAGAATCGTGCAGTCATAATTCACCCGATCATATCTGAAGCTCGAAGAATCGAGTCAGAAGCGGCTATACTTTCATGCATCTGAATAGATTACTACCAACCTATAAAACCTGATGATGACGATGATGATGTAGATGAAGAACTTGTAGTAGACGGTGACGTTGCAACAGAATTTTTTGTTGTTTTTTGTTGTAGTCGATATAAAAGTAATAATAAATCATCTAAATTTAATTTTGATAAGTCAAGAGTATGGATTTTATTGACTAATGATTCATCATCTTTGTTTTTTAAAAGTAATGGTTCAACGTCAATGGTATCAGAAAAAGTACTAGCCAATTGAAGAACAGGATCATCAACTGGTACATTGATTGAGACTATTTTTAAAACATAAAAATTCTGCTCAACTCTTAACAATAGATCAAAGCAATATAATAATACATACAATCTTCATTATTGATATAATTTGTTACCCAAACCATTCGAGTTTGAATTCCATCCAAAACATAATATGGATGTTGTTCATGTTCATCAAATTCATCGACATTTTCGTCATCTGACCAAAACGATAACGAATTTTCCATATCTATTTAAACTAAATTAAATATTTAGTTATTCAATAATAAACACAAACTGTTTTTAATAAGATGATTTCGAATCATTTGTGATTTGTTCACAATATCGTTGAATATAACACAATAGAGAAGGAAAAATGTGCTTCAGAATAAGAAAAGGCGCAACGTCTTTATTATGATAATGATTGTTCGTTGTCGGAAAGACTCGATTGAAATTTCTTTTTTATTTTTAAGATTTAAATTTATTGCGACATCTTTTTACAAGAAAAAAACTAGCATGACGACAAGAAGAATCTTAATTTTATTTGAAAATTTTAATATAAGCAAATAGATATTATGACAATCGAATTAATGTCCATTTCTGATCTGGTCTATCATTGATTTCACTAAGAACAACTTGTGAACCTATTTGTGTTGAAGCACCAACAAATGAAGCTGCTTTTTGTGCCCAAACATTAATGAATGTGACTGTATTATCGGCATCTTCATTATCAATAATTCTCCATATTTGATTATCTTTTGTTTCAAATTTATATTGAACAATTTTTGCTCCATCATTTGTCTGCCAATCAAAATCATCAAGAACTTTTCGACTATTTACGTTAACAATTTTATATGTATTATAACCAACATAATAAATATTCCATTGTTGCCAAAGAGTACCTTTATCATTATTTTGTATAACTCGAGCAAAATCCGATGTTAATCCATTTTCAACTTCTAAAACAAGTTTTGAGTTATAATTGATTATTTTAAATCGACCATCAAATTTTGGTTCCCACATTTGTACACTATTAATTAATAGAGTAGCGGGATAATCACTTGAATTAACTGGTGTCGACTGTGATCGACCACCAACACCAAGTGCTATAACAAGGGTCATATCAGATATTTGTGTGATTTCAATTGGTTTAATAAATGAACGAAGTAAAACATTATCAAATAAAAATGATATTTTATCATAACCCCAATCAATAGCATAAGAATGATAATCAAGACTATTATCTGTTGATGAACGTGTTGTACCACCAACAGATTCACTTGAACCTGTTTGTGATGTATAACGAAATGTATAACCAATATTTCGTCGATCATTAAATACATCCATAGTTAACATAGGTAATGTTTCATCTAATGGCACAAGCATAATCATTGGCCATGTACTTGCCACTGATGGTACACGCATACTAACTATAGTTAAACCACGTTTTAAAGTTGTTAAACTATTTGTATGAATTGCACCGGATGTATAATCAACATTAATAATACCATAATCAACTGTATTAAGACTTGTTATATTTGTTGTTCGTACAGGAATTGCTATTAATTTAACTTGACCTAAATCTGTAATTGTAACTTGACGACGAATCATATTGGCTTGATGATTATATGTTGATCCCCATGGATAATTATAATTCCAAATTGATCCATTTAATGTTGAAGATGAATTGAATTTATCTTCGAAAATAAGTTTTAAACCCTCTCGACCAATGGCAGACACATGATGAAAGATTAATATAATGAAAATCAAAGAAAATCGATTTTTATCGAACATATTTAGTTTATTTAAAACGAATCAATTTGTATTTTTTCTTATTGACTATTTTCTTTTGCTATGGCCTGAGAAAAATAACCAGATGATTGTAAAAATAAGGACAAAATAATGCAAATCATTCCGTTTTGTAATCAGCATGATGTTGTTTTTTTTTAAATAGATTTAAAAGAAGCAGATTCGCTTGACGAACAAAAAAAAATTATGGTATTTCGATTTATTAAATTTCACATTCAGTAATAACATGATAATATTTTTGAGTCACAAGACCAGCACAAACAGTAATGCTAGTTGATGCACAGATCGACGATTGAAATGATACCTGTTTCTAATACTGACAACTTTTCAAACGGGAAAATAATCCTAGAAAACATATTGATAAAAAATTAGACAAAAGAACCAGTCTCAAACAATAATCTTAATAGTTGAAAAATTTTACAACTCTACTATCTATTGCTATTTGTTTAAACAGCAGCCGCTAAAGTCACGCATTATTACTTCAATGAATCCAAAATAAGAATGTCCATCGTTTTTTTTCAAGTCTATCAACAGATATTTATAAAATAGAACAAAAATTTTAAAAAAATATACATCCTTTTGTTGATATAATTGTTTTAATGTAAAACCATATCATAGTTTCAATTTCTTATTTTAAATAGATATAGCTATTAAATTTCATAAGCAATTTGATCAAATAAAAATACCGATGCAGATAAACGTGAACGAAATTGAAATATGATTATGAATCTATTTATTAATATAAGAATCAATATGCAAAGAAGTGCTTAACATATAAAATAATTATAACTTTCAACAGTATATAGCAGTCGCGGATCTAGGATGTTTATGATATGGACAATTTGATGGAGACTTAGGGCGATCATGATCATAAAATATGTATTGAAGCTCATTATAGGTAATATCAGCTTATTTAAAGCTTTTTCGCTGGGAAAAACTGAACACTTTTTTTGTAATACGGACGATCGTTAACAGCACCTCCTGCACTTCTGACTAGAAAATAAAGTTCAACAATTATGGCATTATCTATGTTTTCATCCAGCTTTACCGTAGAAATGAATAATTATAGAATCTAATTAGATATTGGTCTTTGCATAGAACCATTTTGAATTGTAAAAGTATATGCTATAACTTTATCGTTTGTTTCATTCGATAAATTCTATTAAAAAATACATCTTTTACAAAAAATAAAAACAAAACTAATGTCTTAAACTTACACTAAATAAAACAGAAATAGTTGATCCTTCATTAACATCACCAGTATCAAATTTAATAAGAAGAATATTCATTATAGGATCTACATAGGATAATAAAAAAAACATGATAAAAATCGAAAGATTTCTTTATATTTGAACATGATTTTTTAAAGCATATTTTTTTTTGATGATAAATCTCACATAATACAATCTTTATCAAGACTACCAGAATGTTAAATCTGTTCATTTACACTTGGTCAAAGTGATATAACAAAGCCTCTAAAAACCAAAAATCATCATTGATAATTTTTAAGCATAATTGTTATGTTCAATTTACTGATGATGATTTATCTGTTTTGAATTATTATTATCAGTCATAATCGTTAGATCTTTATGTTGAGTTCCTCCAAACTACAATTTCATTCAACAAGAACAATATATTTTTTTCTTTTTCTTGTTTACTTGTGTTGTTAATGTTCGTAACGAAATAATAGAAATTGTATTAATATCTGTATCACAATAAATTGTTGTACGTAAAAAATGATGATGGACCTATTGAATGAATTGCATTAGAAAATAAAAATGTACATAAACATTTTCCTGTAACAATATCCCATAACTAAAATTTTAAAATTTATTAGTTTAAAAAAAAACACAGACTATTAAAACATACTCGAACTCTAAAATCACTTGAAGCAGTGAACAGTAAATGAAATTTTTCAAATGATATTTGACAAAGATATTGAATGGGACTTGTATGACCTTGAAATAATTTTGTTGGAGAAATATCTAGATTTATATCATGATTTATTCTTTAATGAAAACAACAAAATTCTTTTTTTGTTTTTCGACTAAAAAAGTTATTTTTACTCTTCAATATCCCATTGATGAATAAGATTATCTTCACCAAAGAATATTAAACAATCTTGATTTTCATCAAATAATGAATGATTTATTGTTCGAATATATATTGACAGTGTTGTCAAATGTTGTTCATTATCACACTAAATAACAAATTGAAATTGTATAGTTTTTTATTATTATTTTAGTTGATGAAGAAACGTTTTGTTTCGTATTGAATAAGCAAAAATAGTTGAATCACGAATAAATGTCATTGAACTAGCAGATCCGGTAGCTATTATCTTTTATAATCTCGATTTTAGAAGTAGAAGTGAATAAATTAAATTGATTATGAATTGGTTAGAATTCTATTCGATTATTTAAATTCGAAACATAAATTGAAGAACGATCAATAGTAGCAGCAAAGATATGATTCCCAGAACATAAGAGTACATGACATGCAACAAATGCATTACATTTCAATGTAAAAAGAACATTAGCATAAAATTATGTAAGAATAGTGTTTGTCACGTGAACAGCTCAATCGAAGTCATGAGTGCACATGAATATATCAATCATAGAAATATCATTGATTTGATAATAATTCACCAATAGTAAGAGATATCGAGCAGTGTTGAGCTCGGGTCGAGTCGGGTCACGAAAAATTGACCCATGTCGGACACTGGTATCGAGTCCGAGGTTTCATTCTCTCATAGTCCTTTTCAGAAGCTACAATACTCTGTATATTGTCAAAACTTCTGAAACATGCACCACTTGAGCAGAATTTCCAGCTCCTCTTCTTTTTTAGGTTTCATCATTTTTAATGTTTTGCAGGTCGATGATTACGGACTTCGTATATGGCTGTAAACGATCGTATACGTTCCCTATACGGCCGTAAATGGTCGTATTTTAGCGTTTTACATGGTCCAGTATTACGGTCGTATATCACCGTGAGTGTATACGGACAAATGCGATCGTATACGGGCAAATATGGGGCAAAACGGAGATTGTATACGAAATCTGTGTACGACGGCCGTAAACGATCGTTTTTTCCTCCATATATGGTTGTATTTCTTCGTATACGACACGGAGAAATACGATCATAACACTGGACCATGTATTTTGCTGTATTTCTCCGTATACGATCGTTTACGACCGTGCCTGTTCGACCTGGGCATTTGTTTTAAATTTGTTCAATAGATAGGTTTTCATTATAAAGCGAATCAGCATGATCTGTATTCAAATGTACGCATTGGATTTTTTCAATAAGTTGCATCCGGACGTTCATAAAAAGATTTCGGATGAGTAGTTGACAATCTTAATGCGTTTGTCGACGCTTAAGCAGGTCTATATCGTTTTTCAAGTTGACACACTGATCCTAATATTATTAAAATATGAAAAGAGAAAGTTTTGAAACTGAAAGAAATCTACCATCATATGTTTTAACGAATCTTGTACCTCGTGAAATATTTCTTGTAGTGGATTTATCAATTCGATGAAAAATGAATGGAATAGGCGGTCACTTTGATTTTGATCGATGTTTTTCCTGCAATTGCCAATGGTCTTTAATGCACGTTCTTGCCACTTGTTAATTGTCGATTCATGTGTTTCTGTCACGATAGTTTCACATCGATTACGAATATCTTGAGCTATACATAATATGTCAAGTTTGTGATAAACTCTTGGCATGTTTCATCGTTGGCACAATGTGGATAGAGAAAAATAATGTATTTTTTGTTTGCCAAATTGTAGAGGAAAATCGACTGTTAACTAGTTGTTCAATTTGTTCCATTGTCTTGGTCAATCGAAGAGAATGAACCAGAGATGGAACCGGTACGAGTTTCAAAGCGGCCGGTAGACCGACCTGTCTGACCGTTTCAGATTGGTTACATCTCTATACCAGGTAATTCGTACAACTTGGTATATCAAGCTTATCAGGAGAGAAACCGAATTTTCCATATCTAAACTACTCTTTCTCTAGTATTGTGAATTATCGACATATCATTCATTACCGACAGACAGTTGATTGCTTGTTGACCAGCCGATTTTACCTTTCCAGTCCGATTTCATCTCTAAAATGAATGTGTATTCAATAAAAAAACATATAATAAAGACTAACGAATGAATTAGAGGGTGATGAAAAGTGCCAATCGGTATCAAAATACACTAAAGTGACACCTACTCGGATGAAGGAATTCATATTCGAATTGATGTATAATTACAGTTAATAAAGCACCTTGTTAAACTAGATAACTTATTGTCACTTAAGTTTAGTTTCAAATAACAGATCGAATTACATTACAACAGTTGCTATAAACTTGAACTAAGATGGGATTCTACTTTGGAATCGTCATTTAGTTTTCCGTTGGTGCAAGCTACACTGAAAGTGAAGATGAACAAAACTATTTCTCATGCTTATCATCAACTTATAAAACATTCAACCAAGGATAGTTTTATCTTATCTATATGAAATAAAAAGCTGAGCCTACAAAGTGCCACTTACATTGATATGTAATGAAAGCTTGCTGCAAAGCGACAAAAATAGAACTAAATATTGAAAGAATTAATTCTTCTATCTGAAAAACACTTAAAATAATGTAGTAAGTGAGGACAAAAAGTTGTCCACTGTGAACGGGTTTAATGTGAAGAAACGTATCTATAATGAGAGTGAATCCATTACTATATTCATTGATGTTTTGCTATCCATTCAACTAGTAACCATATGGCAAGTGACATTTAGAGCCCACTTTGAGATCAATTTTATTCAGTGCTCTCGTGAATTCCTGAATCTGGAACGGTTTATCGGTAGTTCGGCTGTCTCTGATAATCATTTCGTTTTTACTACAATTTTTCTGAAAAACTTTCTCCTTTCAAAATAATACATCTATTAGACATTAGAGGAGGACGTATTTCTTCAGAAATAAAACAATTGCTGTTCCGATTCATCGAATTCGAAGCAGAAGAAATCGCGACAGATGTAACAAACAGATTTGGTAATTCCTATGATGCATCTGCACAATTGTATTGATTGACAGTGATTCGTGGATCATTAGATCGAGAAAAATGCCCAGTATACTAAAACAATGCTATTTTAACCTAAAAAATACCCATGTCATCCATAGAAGAGAGAAAAAAGGTGTCAGAATCGTTTTAAAAAGAAATTGAAATCAAACTCAACGAATTACTCGACACAGATTGAAGTGACGTATTTGATTAAAGACATCTTTTTGCACACTATTTAATTTTAAAATCACCTAAATGCTTCGTCAACAGTGTACGAAGAGGCTGTTCGTTACACGAACCAAAAATAATGTTCAGTCGAACTGTCTATAATTTAATCTTATGTTAGCAAAGTGAATAGGTCCGAGGATGCTTGCTAGTGTTCGACTGGATTTCAACGAGGAAGCGGACACAGTGAACAGAAAAAGGGGGTCCGGAGCAATTCTTACAATTAATATAGCTAATAACTTGATATTTTGTACAATTACGCTTCTCTCTTGATTCTGATTACCTGTGCTTATTTAGCCTCTTCTACTCATAAAAATTCTGAAAAATAGGTTTGTTACTGAATTTTTCGACAGAACTCCGTACTTCCCCTCAAATTACGTTGAACGTAAAATTTTTAGTTTTGGTTTGAAACTTCACACAAATAATACTTTCAATGAAAATAGTTCATTGTGAAAGTTTCAGCCTTTTTCATTGCTTCTGTTGTGAGATGTGGATATTCAAAGTTCTGTTGTGTGAGAAAGCAAATTTTGTGCTTGTGTTAGTATATTACGACAGAAGCAACGAAAAAGGCTGGAGCCTGTCAACGTAGCCTGAGGGGAAGTATGGGATTTTGTTGAAAAATTGAGTAAAAATTAGATATCACAAGAACAAAGACCTGGAAAATCAAATCATTAGAGATTTTTTCAACCCTTGCCAGTACTTATCGAATGAACATAGTCCAAAGCTAGAAACGATTTAGTACCTGGAAATGTTTCCTTGCGAGTTACCAAGATTTCCTTTCGAAGAGACTAAAGAGTTAGAAACTATCCATGTATTATATTTAGAACCAAACAAACGTTGTAGTAGTTTAGAAATTCATGTATTTGAGCTTGTATTGCCAATTGTAATCCTAATCGATCTAAAAGATAAGTATTTATTATACAAATCTTATGGAATCGATGTACATAGCAGATTGTATTTGCGACGTTGTATCTCAGTAAGGGTTTAAGTGCGCATCTTTGCGCATCATCTCAGATGGATGATGATATATTCTATTAGATAGTCAAGTAAAAGTCAAATAAAAGGTACAGTTATCATGGCCTTCAGCCATGATACGTCATCTTTGGTATGTTTGTTTACTCTTTTGAGTCAGGATTCCTTGAGTCATGAGCATGGGATGCTTGACTCAGGAGTCTTGACTCACTTATAACTATATATGCCCATGTATCTTTTCGAATGTGTGTGTGTCGTCCCTTCTTCATCATCTTGGTACTCCCTACTTAGTTTATATTCAGTTCAAATACATTTCCTGGATTTATAACAATGGTGCTCTGGAGTTTATTATATTATTCCTCCGATAGTAATAAACACATAACAACAGTAAAATCCGGCAAACAAATGGAACTATTCACTAGTCGTCATTTTGTAGTACAGTACGAGCAGATTTTTTACTCGATCAGAGCAGAAGGAATTTCAATCAGTCCGAAAGGTCTGTACTATATAGTAAACATATAACGTTAAACAGCTGCATAATATCTAATGGATATGATTAGGTCTTTAATTCGTAAAATAAACTTTACTTCTAAGATCCTAACAGTGGTATCCATCTATCTTACCTACTTTGTGATAGTTGTTGCAAATCAGCCACTCGCTTGCAATCAGAATCCGAGATGCAGTTAAATGCAGAATCATAGTAGCTTTAATGCTAGCTACCATATAGATTAAGATCTCACAAATAGATGTTGTCGCTTGGCTATCCACTGTGCCCCTCTCTTAAATCTACCACTGGTATATGGAGAATAAATGCCTAGTTACCAAATAGCATACGAATGATAATTCATCTCTTGAGACATTACTTTAAAGTGCTGAAACGACACGTCAGGAAAGCTTGTTAGTAGTAATGAATAGACCTCGGATACGTTCATCGTATTATAAACTTATTAATCTATTTAATAGCATTTCTGATTTCTGATTATGACTGACATCTGCCGACGCATTGTTTGAATTGATTATTGAGGCAGTTCTATCGTTTAATATGGTAGCTGTCATATGGTAGTTTAAGTGTATAGATGATTCAATGAGGAAGACGATTTCGTTTGCTTTTAACTCGGCAACGTCATTCTTGCTGCTTTTTTTTATCGTGACATAAAAACAAAAACATGAGACAAATAAAGAAAAAAACGTACATACTCTTTCATAATACGACTTCGCAAAACAAGGCTTTAATCAATTGCTATTTCTTTGTGTTTAGATGTATTCTAATATTCTATCGTTAATCATTTGAATATAAGACTACTTGCTTACCCTTTGTAAATGCTTGTTTGTATGTAAAAAGTAAAAATACAAGGCTAAATTTGAGTGGAATTTCAAAAAACATCAACATACACCAATTTTTTCATTTTTTCTCAAATTTATACAAATGGGCGGATGTGTAAGTCATAATCGCAGTCATCGTCGAGGACGATCACGTTCATCTCGTACTAATGCAACAAGTAATTTATTGATTCATATGATTATTTCTTTTTCAAATTTTACTATCGTATTTTTTATGAATTTAGCTAGTGGAACTGTTGGTCGAAATAAACCATTAAATCGTTCAGCTTGCCGTCCAAAGTGGAAATCAGATGTTCCAATTACAGAAACTCAATTACGTCGTAAACGTGAAGAATATTGGGATACAGGTGAATTTTCGTAGAAGAAACATTTTTATTTTTGATAAGATACAATTTTATAAGTCATAGTTTTTGTGTTTTTGACTATGATTTATTTTAGAATTGCTTATACACTGATACTTAAGATATACAAGAATTTATTATTAATAAGACCTTTTTTTTTCTTTAGAAATGCAACGAATAAATAATCAATATATTTTCCCGTTAAAAATAAATGTCTAATAATATAGCTGAAATATGAGAATACCATGAAGTCAATATCAAATTTTATTTACCAAAGAAAAGAAAATCAATCATATAATTTATGTTGTCATGTTAATCGTACCCTAAAATTATCCGTTAATCGATCCGTATAAAATTCATAATTAAGCGAATATTTTTCTAGGACTAATGTCTAGTATTTATCTAATAGAATTTGTTGAGTAATCATTCTATTAATATGTATATATATAAACTTTTGATATTTTGATTTTAATATGATATTATGAATTTTTAGCACCCGCTTTCGAAGGTCGTAAAGAAATTTGGGATGCTTTACGTGGTGCATGTTATGCCATTGAACAAAATGATATCGATCTTGCACAATCAAGTAGAATTTGTTTTTTCAATTATCTTTTTTTATTTTTCTTTCATATTCAATTTATTTATTGTTTTTAGTTATTAATTGTGCTAGTATATCCCTTCCTCATGGAACACTTCTTGATTGTTATGATGAACTTGGTACTCGTTATCAATTACCTGTTTATATTTTATCATCACCAACAAATCTAATTGATGGTGAACAATCATCAATTGATTCTCGTGGTGATAATGAATCAAATACAAGTGATATTGGTCTTGCATTAACAGCAGCTACTGATCGTGAACGTGATTATGGCGGTAATCAAAGTTCATCATCGTCATCATCATCATCAACAACAACAAATGCTCATTATCGTTCAACAACAAAATCTTCAACAACACATCATACTGGTCATAATCCAATAGTACGTGAAATAAAAAAACATCGTCGAAAACAAAAATCAAATACAATAAATATTGAGTCGGGTAATGATTCATCATCAACAAATACAACAACACCACCGTCAATAATTAATCAACAACAAATAAACATTGATCAAGATATTGAAATTCCAATTAAATTTCGTTTATCAAATGGTAAAGAACACCGATTATATTGTAAACAAAATGAAAAAATACGTAACATTAAAAGACGTTTGGCTATGCTAGAAAATGGAGTTATTGATTCTCAAACACAACGATTATATTTTGGTGGAAAATTATTACGTAAGTAATTCGACATTTTATTTTTCGTTGATTGCAATAGAATTTATTTCGGTGTTAACAATAGATTTTTTCTAGGTTTTTTTTCTCTTTATTAGTCTTTGAAATATCTCACTGTGTTTGTTTATTGCTGATAAATTGATTGACACGACTCTTTTTCTATAGCCGACACCAGAAAAAAAAAATGTTGCCATAATCTGTCATCAATTTTCGGAATACTTGTTTCTGGCGGATCAAGCCAATACGAAAGAACACGGATAATTGTATTTTCTAATACATGTTACTATTGAATGTCAAGATAACTTTGTAGAAAAATAAACTATTTTAGTTAATTGAGATTCTCTAAAGAATGACAAGACATTTGTCAACTTCTTAGATCAAAGTATATTTCTATAAATATTAAACGCATGATTAATACATAATTAGTTTTCTTGAATTTCCGTTAGAATTTTCATATGACGTTCATGAAAATTTTTTTTTCACAATGAAAAAGTAGTCATATTATCATTGGATTTGGACAGTTGTTGATTGCATGTCTATTGATAAAAAATGATAACAGATACAATCTCTCTAATGGCATTTTTTTCATTAAAGTTTGAATGAAATAAATAATAACATGCGTCTTAATATAATTTTTATACTAATGTTATAAAGCATTTTTCTGATTCGTGTTTTCTTGTTATTTATATTAAAATACATAATTATCTGTTTCTTTTTATTTTGAGTGAATATTATTTGATAGGAAAGAGTTCATTGTGACCTAAGTTAGAGAACTCGGTATCAAATCTAATAATTAGTTTTTTCATAGAGAAATGTTTTTTTTTTAGTAATAAATTGATTTTTTTAGGAGATCGTTCAGTTATTTGGGAAGCTCGTTTACAACGTAATTTTGTTGTTCAAGTTATTTTAACAGACAAACCCATACCACCTAACGGTGCCATAACAACAACTAGTCATTTAACAATGGCTAATGGTGATAGAGATCATTCAAATGCAATACCAGTTGAATTAACAAATACTTCTTGAACTAAAAAAATATAAGATAATCAAAATAAGACAAAAAATATTGTCCATTTAAAATTCTCTGCATGCTTTTTCATACTTCTTTGTACAAACGAATTCTTACTATTCTCTATTTTCATCCTTCTTTTAGATGTTGTCAATAATTGCAATACTTTTTTTTTGTTTGTTTTTTCTTGTTCTCTTCCCTTTGCTCAACCAGTCAATATTATCATTATCATTTATGTTGTATTCATATTTATATATATATATGTATGTTCTTTTGGCGTTTCATAAAAACAAAACAAAACAAAATTATCAATGGAAAGAAAAACAATCTTTTTCTTCTTTCTTTATTTTAGATTGATATCAATCTTTTTGTTGTTGTTATTGTTTTTATTTTTATTTCTTCTTCGTCCAATACAAATATGTCCGATTTGTCAGATCTCGACAGACAGTTAGAACAATTACGACGATGTGAGCTAATTAGAGAAAGTGAAGTTAAAATGCTTTGTACCAAAGCACGTGAAATACTTGTGGAAGAAAGTAATGTACAATGTGTTGATTCACCCGTTACAATATGTGGTGATATTCATGGGCAAATGTTTGATTTATTAGAATTATTTCGTGTCGGAGGTAAATACAAAATACTTTTGTATATGTACTTTAAGAAAAATAATATCGAGTTAAATTTCGAATGAGACATTTTATTTTGATTATAGTTTGATCTGTCATCCAATCATTGGATTTTTCTTTTTCATCTATTTGATAACATATATAGTGTTGATTAGGATAATCTTCGTCTCGTTTTACATGCTGATACTATATAAATAGCATCCCTAGAATTACATGAAGAAAAAAAAACCACAGCCTGTATAAATACTTTGGTGTTGATTTGTATGAAAAGACAAGAATTTCGATTAGAAGAAAGAATTTTCTTTTGATGAATTTATTCCGTTATATTAAACAATTGCATGCTGTGAGTAAAAAAGAATAACATATTCACATGCAGACATTATCAATCATTAATATTGATTATAAGGTGTAATATGATATTTTTTTTTAGTTGCTCGAACTATTTTATTTAATTATTCGTCTGTCACTGTATTAGACTTCATATTAGATTAGTATATTCACTGACAGCAAAAGAAATTAGTAGCATGATGGGTTCAAATTATTTTTCTTCCTGTTGTCAGATGTTGGTTTTATTCCATTTGTAAACTTGATTCATGCTAAGTTTAATTAAGCCATATGAAAATAGCTTTATTTTTCTAACAAATAGAACACTATAAGTCTTTTTATTTGTTGTTTTTTTTTCTCTTTTGCAGGTGATGTTCCACAAACAAATTATTTATTCTTAGGAGATTTTGTTGATCGTGGTTTTTATAGTGTTGAAACATTTTTATTGCTACTTGCACTTAAAGTAAGATATCCTGATCGAATAACATTAATTCGTGGTAATCATGAATCTCGTCAGATTACACAAGTTTATGGTTTTTATGATGAATGTTTAAGAAAATATGGTTCAATTATGGTATGGCGTTATTGCACAGAAGTTTTTGATTACTTAAGTTTATCAGCTGTTATTGATGGAAAAATTTTTTGTGTTCACGGTGGTCTTAGTCCATCAATAAATACACTAGATCAAATTCGGCAAATCGATCGAAAAATGGAAGTACCGCATGATGGACCTATGTGTGATCTTTTATGGTAAAAATTTCTTTTTTCTTTAAATAAATATTTATTTAATGGAAAAATTTAAGGTCTGATCCAGAAGAAACACTTGGTTGGGGTGTTAGTCCACGTGGTGCAGGTTATTTATTTGGTAGTGATGTTGTATCACAATTCAATCAAACAAATAATATTGATTTGATTTGTCGTGCACATCAACTTGTTATGGAAGGTTATAAATGGCATTTTAATGAAACAGTTTTAACCGTATGGTCAGCACCAAATTATTGTTATCGCTGTGGAAATGTTGCTGCTATACTTGAACTTGATGAACATCTTAATCGTAGTTTTACAATATTTGAAGCAGCACCACAAGATCAACGTTCATCAGCAACAAAACGTGTTATACCCGATTATTTTCTTTAGGAAATTTATCTTAATTTACATATATGTATGTGATTATCTGTTTGCTTGTGTGTATAACGTTTTTTTTTGTCAGTCCCATGTAATCTGTTTGGTTATTTGGAAAAACAAAGAAATAAGATACTAAGAGTATGTTAATAAGTATATTTTGTTTTGTTTGTTCTAAAGCATTTTCTGTCTAGTGACAATATGTTTGTATATAGTAAGACAACAAAGAACGGTCAATATCATTGTACATTGATTTGTAGTGTATGCCTTATGGAAAGAGGAAAAAATAGTATAGATCTAATATACTACATCAGTTTCTTTTCCAGATGAAAATGATAAGAATACAAAAGGAAATGGAGCGGAAGCGTCTCTTTTCCTTTCTATCCCTTATATCTATAATCAATTCTTAGTAGTAACTCAAAGTTGGCAATATATGCACTTACCCTTTATAGGAGTTGTTCATCTTCCTTTTTCTTTCCTTTTACATCGATGTAGGTTAGTAAGACAAGCATGTTCAATAGAAGGAAACAATGCTTATGATAGACCTCTCATTAAATGTACATTACTGGAAGAAATCTATTCTATCATGCATTTTATTTTCTATATCGTGCTGCTTCTTTCCGCCTTGAGTCATTGAAATAAATGAGTATGATTCAAAGACTAGGCTGTCAAAAAGATAGTCTTTTACATTTTTCAAAAATAAAAATAGATTGCATACTTTTTACTTTATCTCAATTGAACAAAAAGAATTCATCAGTTGTCTTTTTTTTTTCATACTGTGAACATATGAGATTATATGAATAGAAAAAATCACAAGGAATTATTCAAATAAGTTGATATAATCAATATTTCTTATTTGTGTTTGTAGATGATTTGAACAATGAATACACTTTCAATACGTGATCTTTGTTGTCTTTTTTGTTGTCCACCATTACCATCACGTATAGCTGCTAAGCTTGGTAAATAATTATTATTTGAATAAAATTTAAGATAAAAAAAGAACTATATAATTCAATACTTATATATTTGTTTAGCTTTTCTTCCACCTGAACCAACGTATTCTTTGCATATAACAGATACTCCTACATCAACAAATGGTGCTATTGATCAAAAACCATCATCATCGTCAACGAAAACGTCTGTAACTGATGCTAATTCATCTGTTCGATATAGAATAGTATTTGCTGAAAAAGCCGAATGGCAACATTCACAATCAGATATATCTAAATTAGAACCATATTTTGTAACAACTTCACGTCATAATCGTATTGCATGTCTTTATGTTAATTGTACATCGGATCCAAAATATTATATTTTATTTAGCCATGGCAATGCTGTTGATCTTGGTAAACAGATATCTACTCATTTATTTATTCTTTTTTTTTTTTTATTCAAGGTCAAATGGCAAGTTTTTTTATTATTTTGGGTACACGTCTACAATGTAATATAGTTAGTTATGATTATTCAGGTTATGGTGCTTCACAAGGAAAAGCAAGTGAAAAAAATATGTATGCTGATATTGAAGCAACATATACTTCAATAAAACAACGATATCATATTCCAGTATCAAAAATTATTCTCTACGGACAGAGTATTGGTAAGAATACGAAAGAATTTTATTTTAGCTTTTTATTAAGCATGATCGAAAGAGAATGCTGAAATATCGAGGTATAAAAGTAGACCTTTCGACACCCCCACAGATGTGGCAGATATATTAGCAACGAGTCATCATAAACTGTGACAGATTTTACCATGGCAACGTCACAGACTGTGGCAGACATTGTTAATATTACGATCAAAGACCGTATGTCAATAACATTTGGTCATAATCTATGAAATATTTCCTTATTGTATTTCTGGAGGATTAAGTTAAATGATAATGAAGAAACGTGTCTCAAAATAGATAGAATAAAAAAATCACTCTATGATTAGCAACAGCAATTATATCGTATTTTAGATTTTACTCTCCGAATGATTGCGTTAACAGCTTTTCTTTTATATAATTAATTAAATTTTTTTGTTTTTATTAGGTACTGTACCAACAATAGATTTAGCATCACGTCATAAAGAATGTTGTATAGCATGTATATTACATAGTCCATTGACATCAGGCATGCGTGTTGCATTTCCTGATACAAAACGAACATGGTGTTGTGATGCATTTCCCTCCATAGATAAAATTCATCGGATACGTTCAATAGTTTTAATTATACATGGAACTGATGATGATGTTATTGATGTAAGTCATGGTTTTGCACTCTATAATCGCATACATATACCACATCAAATTGAACCATTATGGATTGATGGTGCTGGTCATAATGATATTGAAGTAAGATTCATATGTAAGATTTTATTTTAGTAGATTTTTCTTTTCTTTTGTTTTATTTTCAGGCTCATGGTCAATATGTTGAAAGATTATTACGATTAATTGATGTTGACATTCCACAAATACATTTAAAACAACAACAACAACAACAAGAACAACAGCAACAATCAATATCATCACCACCAGCTCCACCAACATTAGCATCAACACTCATTATACCATCTTCAACAACGAATGGAACGAATTAAGTATAGATAATAAATATATATATTTTTTTCTTTTTCCTGATGTTGGTGAACTTGGAAACTACTCATATTTGATTTCTTATATATATAGCGTGCAATGTGATCTGTACGTTTTTTTTTCCTCTCAGATCAATGTATATTAGAAAACTAATCTCATATTTGAATGAATATTGTTTTTCTTTTCTTTTTGTTTTTGTTCACTTTATCTATCTTTATTCAATCTTGTATAAAAGAATATATTAAATTTATGATGTTTATTAATTGATGCGTTCTTCATGTTTTCTTTTGTACGAGCAAAAACTTATCGTTGGTTTACTGAGTGCAAAGATAATTTTTCTTTTTTTTTGTTTCTGCTTTGTCTACACTTTAAA